GCGACCGGCCGCCCCCCCCCCCCCGCCACGGGGCAGCCCCCAGGGAGTGGGGGCTATTTTTTAAAGCTGGGGCGGGCAGGGCAGCCATGGGGGCAGGGGGAGCAGGCGGGGGATGGGGCCTGGCAGGGGTCCCCCGCATGGTCCCCTCCACCACACTCCCTACTTACCAGCTTGGAGTCCAGGTCCAGCTCCCTGCTGCAGCAGGCTGGGACTGCCCGAATCATCGAAGCTCTCCGAATCAATTCGGGCCTTTAAATTAGTCCTGATTTGACTCGGATTCAGAGATTTGACCTCTGAAATCAGGCCAAATCTCCTCTGAATCTAATCAGCAGCCGAAGCTTCGCACAGCCCTAGTCCATAGCATGCCGAGCAAAGGGACGAAACAACAGACTCTATACTGACAGACTCAGATCCAAAAAGGGAGTTAGATGCAACACCACTGAGCACTGCAATGCTTAAACTTGAATGCGTCAGCACCTGAGCTCTATAGTGCATAGGAAGATTTAGTTACTCAGACCTGCCTTCTCCCAGATGTGTCCTAACCGCTAGGCAACAGCCAAGCCCACTTTTGCTCCTTTTCTCTGACCCTTTCCCTGGCACTTGTCTCAGCTTCAAAAGGAGGTGGGAGCATGCTACTGGGAACAGTCAATGACCTGGCAGGCATTCTCCTAAGAAGCGTAAGATTTTTCTCAAGGTGAAGTAATTGAGGTTGGTCTCCCACCCCCTGGCTTTGCTATTACATAAAGGACTGCATCACCATCATCTCTTCCTTCAGCCTCATTTTAAAAGTGATGGGTCTAGAGTCTGATCCAATAAATGTGACGCAGACATAATCAGAGCATGCCTACAGGAGAAGAGGAACACTTATTAGTCGGTTGGATTTGGGCACTACCTACATGCCAACAGGCTCAGCTCTGCAAAGACTGAGACACTTTTGGGCACACTGCAGAAACAGAACTTTAGTCCTCAAAGAACTCTAATGTAAAAAAAGAAAATGTAGTCAGCTGCAGGCTTTAGGAAGTAGCTTAGTGGGGAGTTCTCCATATCCATGTTGGATTCTGGTAGAATTTAGATGCCTAAAAGCATTTTTTTTAACCTTGGCAGACAAGGTTCCTTGGGTGAATTTGATATCTTTTATTAGACCAACCCAAATGGTTGGAGAATAGTTATTAAGCAAGCTTTTGGGTTCAAAAACCCTTCGTCAGGCTAAGGAATTTTCAGCAGTTGGTGTGTGCTCTTCCTGGATGGAACCTTTTTTGAACCTTTATCTTTACCTACCAGATTTTTGGAAGCTGCCTTCAGTTTAGTTACCTCCCTCCCTGGCTGGGATAGGCAGATTGCCTTATGTAGCATGAAGTGTCTCATCATGCTAACAGCCCACTCTCCCTCCCCACCCCAACCCTTTCTTATGAGTGAATTCTGTAAGTGGCCAGTGCCTTTTGATCTCTCAACCGCTCACCCCTGGCAAAACAGCTGTGTAACTCTGCTGGTACCAAGCAGGCAGTTTTTTTTACAGCTAATAACCTGACTCTCCGTTTCAGTGTTTGCTGGGAGGTTTCTTATCTACATCATCACTTCATTTCCCTGTACAAATACAAGCATCCTTTGATTTAACTCTACACATCCAGACAGGATATCATACATGTAAACTGAAGTGTACCTTATATGTATATATAAGCACATAAAAGCACAGTACAGATATAGCCTTTATTCTGCAGAATATGGGTATGGCCACATGGTTTAGTATTCTGAACGGTCAGTTATCTGCACAACTGAGAACAACCAGTGAGCATGAGCTCAGTGCTCAGCTGATGAATAAACCTGCTTTCCAGAGGCTGGATGGCTACAGCAATACCTTCCTCTCTCCCATTTCCCTGCTCATCACTGGTATGAAATTAGTTGCGTTACACAGTGTGGATCCCAGCTCATGAGGACAGCCACTGACTCCAATAAGCATCATCTGACTCTGATCCTTTAGCCAGAGATGTGCTGTGAATCAACTATTAGCGTATTATTCTTCAGTGTGGATGTGCAGAGATCTGCATATTTCTTTGCATGTACTGCAAAAGTTTCTATTCTGTTTTCTGACAATACCAGCTACCTTCACATTTCAGCTTTCAGCCTACCCTGTTTGTAGACTAGTCACTATAGAATGCTGCTTTTTGTCCCCTTCCATTATTTGCTAAGGATGATGGTTCCTGGGCCCCCTCCATTGTTTTGTCTGTTTGTTTGGTCTTTCTTAAATTTTATTTCTGTAACACTTGCAATCAACAGTCCATTCTAGGAGTCGTTATTACAGGCCAAGATTTGATTCAACAGCTTTGGGCTACTGACCTGGTATGTCCTAAAAGCCAGCTAGCTAGCTACTAGAGAAAGCCCCCAGCAAAGTAGAACCCTTGG